CATAAACTAAGTCTCCTGGATCTGCAGCACATCCCCGACCAATGAAACAGTGACAGACGTRTTAGGAAATTAGAAAGTTATGTTCTTCAACATTTTTCTCAATTGGAGCTTTAATAACTAGGATGGACCAGAACAGCAGTGCTATAGAGATCAGGGAGCAGGTCTTGTTGCTACCTGAGCCTTCTGAAAAGACATGAGTAYGTTTACCTTCTCTTGAGTTGCTTCTTACATTATTATTTGTAAGAAGATGTTGCCGCCCCAAATTAAAAATATCTAAAATGTGAAAACAGCTTTGTTCCTGGCTGAACAAGTTCATATTTGATATCATGTAAAATCAGATCAACTGATTACATTACAAAGAGTTGAACYCTGTGATGGACTTGGGACCTGTTCAACSTGTACCCCACCTCTCTGTGCCAACTCCTCACAACCCAAAGAGGAAAAGTGGGTAAAGAAAATGAATATGGACTATGAAGGGTTTAGCTTTTGGCCAGAAGACACAATGTTGGATTGATTTTAAAAATACTTGTACTTTTCAAGAATTAATGTTTTGTTTTTTTGTTTTTTCAAATTAAAAGTCAAACATTTATTGAAGGAATGTATATTTCCAGCTGGTGGAGTGTGATCTTGTAGCACATGCATTGAAGATAACTCCTACCTGACCAGATGTAACTTAATATTTGCAGACATTGTTCATGAGCAGATTGATTATCTGTGGCAGTAAAAACATGATGGCCTTCACGTTTGTAATAGGTGATAATGAAAACCTAAACACATCAGAAATGTAATTTTATAAATAAACTGGCCTAATGAATCATAAACACTGTGTCTTAGTGGGCAAGAAAACAGAATGAAATACAGTAGCTCCTTTAAAGTTTTATCATGATAAATGTAGAAATTTAAAGATTGTCTGTTTTACTTTATGTGTGTGTATATCTTTTCTTGTGTAGGCTACACTGCCTGAGTGCAGGTCTGTTCGACTCACTGCTTCACTGCAGTGTCTGTGTTGATCTGGTGGAAGAGATCCCTYGGCTTATAGCGCTGAGCTGCCCATCCTGCATTAATCTGCTTAATAGGGTCAAAATTCTGATCCAAAAATACCAGCATCACCAGCCAATGTCTTCCTCTAACCTGCATGGGACCCCCCCCCCACCTTCCCCCCACCCTGCCGCTTCACTCTTCCAGCTGTCATTAGACAAGAGGCGGGGTACGCCCAGGAAAAGGTCGCCACTTCACCATTGGGTGAACGCAGAGACGTGCGAGACAAACAACCTTGTTCGTCATTCCATCCACGTCGTTGTTTCAGAGAATGAAAAGTTAACTAGAGGGTTTTATTTGGATTTTTTAACTACATTTTGTGATCCTGAGTGCTATTTAGCTCGTTGGAGAGTATAAGGAAAGATGCAGATGGGCAATAGATTTTGGTTAGTTTGTTCTTTATCAAGTAGTGATAATGAAAACTGGTGCAAAACACTTAAGATGGTCTGGCTGTTGGCACAAGTTATTGAAACACAAAGACTCAGAGTGTATGTTCATGTAATGCTATTTAAAAGAAGATAAAGTCGATATGGATGGAAACAAAGGTGCTTTGTTGCCATTTTAGTGACTTTTGAAGTAATGCTTGACAGTGAAAGGGGCATATGTGAGATTTTTTTCTTCCCTCTGCGTCCTTTCATTTCATTTATAAATTTTGTGTATATATAGATATTTTTTCTTGTTTTAATGAATAATAAAAATGAATTTAAAAATAAAAGATTTTCTTCATGCCTGAAGTACATTTCCAGGCTTTAGATGGAGGTTGCAAATCGCTGAGGCAGAGCAGGATGATGTTTAGCAAAATCACAACCTGAACCTAACCAGATTTTTTTTTTCAAAATAAATACACACCTTAAATAGCACACATGCATGGAAAGAGTGAACTTGAACACAAGTCAGTCAGCTGAAAGTGCATGTGTCAGACACAATCATCATGCCAGCTTAGCTCATTAAGCTCCACAGATGATAGGGTCAACATTCACTTATGCCTCTAAAACTATTCAGATGTGTAATTTAAGGTGATACCTTTCCTTCCTAAAATAAAAAGGTAATTTTATTCTTCTTGTTCACGATTCCTTTTATCTGGGTCATTGGTTGGCTGAATCATAAGAAGGGGGCACACTCTCCCCCACAATGCAACATATGGTGCGTCCATCGAATTACCATGAAAACAAAAATGAGTGGGTTATGCTGTCATGACACTGAAGCGGTGCTGTAAGCAGCCTTTTTTTTAATACCAACACATTTTACAGTGAAAAGTCAGGAAAGAATCACCATTTCTGTGTGTTTCTGAATGAGACATTGCTTTACTAAGCTCAAGCTTCCAAAACACATAGAGGCCCCTTTAAGAGCTCAACTGTCTTGTTTTTCTACTAAATGATGGAATGTTTTAGACAGTAATTCAGACCGGAAGTCCTTAAAGATTCATGTTCTCAAAGTGTGCAGTGTATTGCTTAAAAACCCAAATGTACTGATGATAAAAGAGCTCAGCTGAAAGTGAAACGGGGAGTGAAGGAGCTTCATGAAGTATTTCAAACACCTGCRTTGAACAGGTGAATTGTGTTGTTGGATATTAATTATTTAGAGTGATTCTGTAAATCAGGTGGCTGTGGAAACGGCAAGTGTGTTTGTGGGTGTCTGTGTGCATGTGTGCGCATGTGTGTAAAGTAAGTAAGTCAAGCATGGAGACATCTGAGGACACAATCACATCGTTCCAGTCTAGAAAGTCTTGGTCACAGTTCTTAGATTGCTGATGGACAGCTTATGACACACATGAACAAGCACACACCTACACACACACACACACACACACACACACACACACACACACACATAGGTATTTGTAAAATACAGACAAACTTCAGGGTTTTATTTATCCATTAATATATATTTGTCTTTCCGTAATGTGTTTGAGTTTGTGTGTGTG